GGCACCAGAATGTGAAATCTGGAGAGGGAGGGGATGGGGAAAGAGAGAGAACAGTACAATTTTAGGGGGTATATGCTGGGGTGGGCCAAGGTGGGCGTGGTAGGGCGTCGTTCAAAATATCTAAAAAATGGTCCAGTGGGCGAAGCCCTAGAAAAATATGACAATTTAGGGGTTTCAGAGGCTTATTTAATCGATTTAAAAAGGTGGATTGTCTACTAATATGTAGAAAATGCATGACATTTTTTTTCTCTGCAGTGGTTTTTCTTCTTTGGGGTAGGGGAAGAACATTTACTGGGGAATATTCCCCCGTGCTTGATGGCAACAATGATAATAATAAAATTATAAAATAATAAATAACACCTTACAAAATTTGTATAAATAGTAACAATAACAATTTACATATTTAATTGTTAATATAAAATTCTACATTTTAAATATTGTATATTAAATTTTCTCCTACATAAGCCACATACAGAACTTTATTCTATAGCCTAGGTCAGCACTGTTGTTAGGGTCACCCTTGTCAAAGTTAAATAAACAAAAATTAAACAATAAAACAATAATAAATACACTCAACAAGATTTAGTATGGTGCCATTCAATCTAATTTTACTTCAGAAATTCAAATCTATAGTACAAAATTACCAATACCTACACAATTGTTATTATTTGGAATAACAGACATATTGTAATGCTAACACTGGAATACTGGTCTCCCTCAAATTAATTACCACTTTTCTGTGGCCTCAAAATTCACAAATGTCTTACTTTTATTATTCTATTCAGAGAGCAAAGCTGCTAAAAGATCATGGAAACCTCAGTCCTAAAAGTGGTCTTTAATTGGAGGGAGATGTGTATTTTGGACATTTCAAGATTCTACAGTGTACTGTTCTAATCGGTTCTAACAGACATAATTCTGATATTTGTCTTACATTAATCATACATGTGCAGCACAACAGAATTACCTCAGATGAACACAAGAAACATATCCTACACACTACTTAAAAGCAATCATAAAAAACTAGACATATACCATATTTTTACAAGTGAACTTTTTGAAACAGTGACAGATTCAGATTTTTTTAAATGGGGTCCAGGGAGCGGATTTTACAGATGGTGGGTCCAACATTTTATGTCCTTCATTATTTTAAAAATTATGAAAAATCAAGGGGGTACAGTGGCGGATCTATGTGACCCCCCCCCTCCATTTTGCCACTAAATATTAAAATACTCAATGCAAATCAATGTTATGTGCTACTTACTTAACTGTTCAGAACTGTTGTGCCCTCACCCCACCCAGCTAGGCCCCTTGAATCTGCCTGTGCAAAAGAATATTATCAATAGAAGAATCTTGAACAAAAGAATTATATAACTATGTAATCTAACAATAAAACTATATTCTGTAGCATTAACTATAAAATATGTCTGTTTTAACAGACAGCCAATACAGAAACAAGACCACAACCAAGAACTTAATTTGTAGAATATTAAATATAGAGCATCAAGTTATTTTTAGTCTTGAACTGGAAGGGATACAGTATCATCCATGTAAAACAAAATGCGTTTAAATAATTTTCATTTTTGCAAGTGCAACACCATTAAAGATAACATCATAATAAAAAATAAAGCATATACATACATCCTTGCCAAATCTATCATTAATTATTTTATTTCAGAATTATATCCATAGTAGGCAAATAAACAATAATAAACATAACTATACAACAAAATTAACACTCAGATTTAATGTGTTATTGAAAGAGGCGCTGTTAATACCGAGAAAGGTTCTAATCAAATTTTTTTCAAGTTTACATGAACGAGGCCAAGATCACTCACAGAATAATTGCTTCTTGTTAAGCAATTAATCATAATTATTTCACAAAACTAAAACTAATTACTGAGGGCTGCAAGAGAAGGAGCAAGCACAACAAGATCATCTCATCATCATCAATTCAAAATTCAATATAAATTGATTGCAAAACAAATGTATGTCTCGAAATACAATTAAAACATTAATAGTAAAACAGTAAAATCAGCAATGCCACACACATAAAATAGTTAAAAATATTAAAATGTATTATACTAATAGTCTCAATACCACAATCATTTTATTAAAAACCATCACAAAAATTATCACCACCACCATTACTATACTACTGCTGTGTCTATAATTACATTTAGCATGACATTTCTAAACTGACAATAATGACTTGATGTACTTCAAATGCTGTTACATATAAAATAATAAAAATACAAAAGGAAAAAGAATATTTATTTATTTTATTTATTTATTCTTTCTTTAAACTGTAGGCACTTTCAGCACTATTACACTGATTCTCAAAGTGGTACAGTTTAAACATAACAAAAATATATACAGTACAATATAAGGAATTGTTTAACAAAAAGTGAAAAGAATGTAAACATAAAATAAAAATACGAAAATAAAAACCAAGCAAGAGAATAGTCAATAAAATACATTTATGTAGTAATATTGTTTTGGAATGAATGTAACAACATATTTTGAAAGTTAATTTTTAATTCATTCGCAAGTATCAAGATATTGTGCTGCTTTCCTGTAATCATAGATGCTGTGTACTGTTGCTTTTGACATATTAGTCATTTTTTTTTATTCGCATCTAAGTAACTCTCTAATTACAGGATGGATGATATTTTTTAAAAACCAAGTCTCTTTATGAGGCTTAGGGAGTAGAGCTGACTTTAGCCGTAATAAAATTCTGCTGTTATAGGAACTAAGCCCAGTACCATGCGATTAGAAGGAAACCATCTTGACCACCAAGCAATTCAATTCAACTCCTAATGCTTGAATAAGTGGTTCATTATTGGTGTATTAATATTACAAAAAAATTGAATAAGCTCTTTTTAAAGAAGGTACTTTTTTAATGATTGTAGGCAGTGGTGGAGATCATCTAGAGGTGCTATAACAAAAAAAATATTGGTGGGGTTGAGGTGGATTGATCCTCTACCTGCGAAAATTAATGCCTGTACCCCTCTATTACAAATTCCTGGATCTGTCACTTGTAGGGAAGGCCATTTCATAATTTAGGTCTCAAGACTGCAAATGCATACATCTCTGGAAGCAGCAACAGCAAGCTGTGTTGAATCTGCCTAAGTCATGAGGCCACTACCACAAGAATCGGACATCCTTGAGGTAGAGGAATGGAGATTGACACCTTCCACACATGTCAATTTTTAAAATCATATTCTCTGCTATCTGGTAACCAATGCAGTTTGCAAAATATAAAGTGACCAGAAGCTGTGAATCTGCCCGGAACAAAAAAAAAATTATTCAAGCTGCACGGTTGCTGTATGTTGGAACAGAGTTGCCATAATGACGAGCATAATGACACAAATAATCAATAATACTACTAAACAACAATAATGGTAATTAATACGTTTTTTGACTTGGAGGACGCCTTTGGTTCGGTGCCTCATAACTTAATTAGTCTCATACTTGATAATGTTGACCCTTTACATACATTAATAATTTATATGCCAATATCTCTGCGTACGTTAAAACAAAGGATTGGCAATCGGATGAATTTAAATTTCGTAAAGGTATTTTTCAGGGCGATCCCTTATCTCCCCTTATCTTTATTTTGATTTTCGACCCCATTATCCAGGCATTGGAATTGGAGCTTTCCCACAGCTACAATATGGATGGAATGAAACACATCACAACTCCATTTGCAGATGACTTCTGCTTAATAACTGGTAATAAGAAAACACACCAAAGATTAATTAATAAGATGTCCACCTTTACTTCGTCAATGGGACTTAAACTAAAACCATCCAAATGCAAATCTCTCTCTATTGTCCGTGGGAAAGCTTCAAATGTGCCGTACACTCTAGCTGATAGCACTATTGCATCAGTTCAAGATGAACATCATAAATTTTTGGGCTCCATTATATCATTCCGTAATACCGAGAATGATGTCTTCCAATATCTTAAAGAGATAATTGAGAATAATCTTAAAGTAATCGATAGTTCTCTTGTTAGGTCTGAATTCAAAGTCAAAATTTATTCCAGTTACCTGTTACCTAGCTTAAGATTTCATCTGACTGTTAACGATATTTGTAAAACTCAGCTTGATAAACTTGATTCCCTCAGTAGCAAGTATGTAAAAAAATGGGTTGGTTTACCTAAACCCAGTACATTATCGTTTATCCATATGCCATTAGGGCTTGACATTCCCAGAATTTCCGACTTATATATCGAGAGTCATTCACTTGCCCATGTGTCTTCTCGATTTAAGGGGGTCCCCAGGTTAATCATTCTATTGACTGTAGACTCAAGAGGGAATGTAACTGGAAGAATAAAATTTCGCTAACCAGTAGGTCCGAAAATCTCTTCCTTGAGGCAAAAAACTCAGAGCCCAGTCCTTCTCTCCCCCGTACTAAAACAATTGTTAAGAACAAACTTAAATTTGATATCCAAGAATATTGGAACCGCCATGTGAAGGAGCTTCTGGTTCAGGGAAGATTTTATGACTTGCTTTCTCTTGAAGAAAGTTGTCACCAGTGGAAAAGCTTCATATACAACCTGCCCAGAGGAGTTATGAAATTCCTTACTAATGCTCTGGGGGATACGCTAAATAATAGGGTTAACTTGCACAGATGGGGAAAAAATATTTCAGAAAAGTGTATGGGCTGCAATAACAGAGAGACTCTTTGTCATATTCTAAATTTTTGCTCGCGTTCCCTGGACCAGGGGCGCTTCACATGGCGACATAACAATGTTCTTAATTATATTTACAAGAATTTAAAAGATGGATTCAAAACTGTTAAATCTCCTCCGGTTATTCTTTGCGACCTCGTAGCCAGCGCCTCTGCTAATCTTCACCGCTCTACAATCCCAACTGAATGCATCCCAACAAATCTCATTCCCGATATCTGCCTTTATTGGCCCGATTTAAGAAAACTTACCATCATGGAACTTACTATTCCATTTGATACTTCAACTATATGACTTCCATTTCATTTTTTCCATATTTTTGCTTTTCTGTTATCAATACAAAAATAATGGTACATTGTTGGGTCACAGAACATTAAACAATCTAGTGCTTTAAGAGCAGCTGTAGTAAATGGACAAAAAATAAAAGATGTATGTACGTCTTCAGTTTCCAATAACCATTCCTACTGTACAGTAGGTGACAGCCTTGAATTACTATCTAACTATATTTAACATTGTTCCTCTAACAAAATTAAGATTTTCTCAGTTCAAAATTATTAAATCAAATTATGAAATAATCTCTTTCTAATAAAATTAAAGACCACCTTCCTGCATTCCCAAGTGAGTCTTATCTTTTAATATGATAATACTTTTTCCTAATTCAGATTTAGATTTTTATTCATCATCACATACATACATGATATTCAATTTCAAAATACATTAAGTTAAAAACAATTTACTGCACAACAAAAAAAACCATACAATAATTAGAAATAAGCAGGCGGGGAAAAAATGTAGGCATTATTAAAAATATAACAATTTTTATACAAGATCAAGCGTTCAAAATGCATTTGAATACTTCAATAAGTCAATTAATTTCATTATTATTAATATACAAAGGTAAAAATTACAGATTAGTTATTATTTGATAAGAATATATACATTTAAATAGCAAAAAATTATTTACAAGTTCATTAATAAAATTAATAATAAATTAATAAGCTGGTTCTTTAGCAGTTCTCAAGTTCTTGAAAGTGTAGTTTATCCTTAAACTAAGCGTAAGATGTTCCGAGCATGGAAAACAACTTCTATATGACAGATACCTCATCCAGGTGATTCTTTAAAACATGCCAAATCTAGAGGTAAACTGGAGTAACAATAACATCATTTATATTTGATATAAAAGACACTGATACTGAGACTGATGGGGTATGGAAACAAAAAATACAAATAATAGTACAAACTGATATCAAACCAAAATAAATATCATACTATGAAAATAAAAATAAAATAAAATAATGAACACAGAAGTAATTTTAACATAAATATTTTATGGAATCCATTCCTGAAATATACAAATAATAACATACCAAAAGTCAGAAAAAATCTAATCAGGGGAACACTGTTCATTATAAAGATATTTAATGGGTTAAAATCAAACGCTTTATTGCACAACTAAATATACAGTCTGTGTTTAAGTGTACTGGACATTGTCAAAATAATTACCATTATCATTTTTCAAAACCCTTTTACAATTTTTTAGATAATTTTTTAACTTTTTATTGCAATGATTTATGCCTTTATTCAATGTTCATTTGTTCTAAATTGTATTTTGTAACATTTTATGAATTTTATGAAGTTTCTGTGATTTGTATGTTGACTGATCTAATAAATAAAGAAAAAATGTAAAGCAAAAAACATTTTCTGTATAAGAAATCTGGCCTACTTACAGTAGAAGGGGAACAGATGTCCAAACATTACTTGCACATTAGGTTTATAGATCTAAAAATGATGACAATCAGGAATTTACTGTCATTAGAGAAGAGAACCTTACATATTTTTATAGTATTGTACTGTAATTGCGTGGTTTTTTTTGCTTTGATTTCAATTTTTTTTTCTAATTTTCAATGTGATGTGGATTGGATTGGATTCATTCCGTGTAAACACCAAGGATAGCCCATGAAAGTCTAGAAGAAGACTTATTTCTGGTGGTGATTGGACAGTGCACACGGGACCAACGGCTTAAACGTCTCATCCGATATGTTGTTTGTTCAGGACTCAGAGCACCACTGTGGTTTCATGGCGCAATATCTTGCAGTACCTTTCCTGTTTCTTTGTGTTAAAAAAAATAATGAAATTAAAATTAAATGAATGAAAATGGCTCACATGATCCTGATCTGTTCTTATTTAAAACAATGAGGATTACCTTCTGCTAGTGTGTTCAATGCTTGTTGAAGATTAAGGATTGTCCTTAACCTATCGATGAATATTTTCAAATTTCCTTCACTGATTATCAGTCGATCTTCTAAATCAGTGATCATAATCCAACTGCTGGTATACATCTTAGGAAGTGTATTATACAATCCATCAATTTCCTTCACATTGTCTGTGGTCAGTGCCAATCCAAATTTCATTAGCTTTTGCCTGTGAGGTGTGAATTCTGTTGAAATGGTTCCTTTCTTAACTTCTGGGAAAGATGGTAGTTTTTTTTTAATCTCCCATTGAAGAGCAAAATGTTTTGTTATGCTAATAGTATCACACAGGAGTCCAAGATTCCATGAACTAAGATGATCACTTGTAAACAAATTATTCAGCAAGTCTATCGTGCTAGTTACTGATGACAGATTTCCTTTTTCCACCTTATCTCTGAACAACACTTTCAGCATTGAAACATTACTCTCCCCGCCATACCAATTTGAGACAATGGTTTTAAGCAAATTGAACTCCATTTCCGACAATTCTATAAAATAAATAGATATATGTCAATATTTATGCAATTTTCAAAAGTAGGTTTTGCAGAGATATATAATGTCAATTCTAAATATTTTTAGCACTGCCACAACTCAATCATACTGGTCTGGTTGACAATCTCTTCCAAATAGTGTATGAATCCTGTGTATGTGTATGAGCCATACATAGTATTGTAATTCGATTAGTTGTGGCTTAATGTCCATCGCCATCTATTTGGCATATTTTTAAATATATAAGGTAAAAAATAATTTGGATATTTAGAAGCACACTTTTTTAGTATGTTAAAATTGTATTTCTCTCATTTATAATACTGACATATATTAGGCCCAGTAAAAAAAAATATTAGTTTATCACCCCCACACGCATGTCTTCTATCTTCTATGGTACTGGAAAAACATTTAATAAAAAAAAATTTAAAAAAATTAGAAATTTTTTTAAATTTTATTTTATTATTTTTTTTTCATTTATTTTATTAAATAGTTAGTAGATATTGTTTGCATTATCTAAATCATGTTTTACTTTGAATATCAATGCACCAGCAAACAACCCAAGGGTAATATTTGGCTTTCAAAATAAAAAATTTAAAAAAAAGCCTCCCTCATCATTTTTCCTGCCCAGATAGAGTGATAAACTAATAATATTTTTTATAGGGCCTTAAGTTCATGTCACTAAGAAATCACTAGTCTTGTTCCAAAAGCTCTGGTTCTAGTTGTGGCTATTTACTATTACATTGTAGGTGCTGCTTTACAAATTGTTATCTCTACAGAGAACCAGCCATTGTCTGGGTGTCACACATATGTATCACCATTTAGCATGCGTTTTATGAAACACAGTGTCTTGATTGTCTGGTACAAGTGTAAATAGTTTTTGACCAGGGTTTGTGGTAATATTTGATGAGATAAAACTCGGTCTTGAAGGGTCCAAGTAATGGACCAGGCTATAATAGACAATCATTGTACATTATTCTTTACCATCTTCTCTAGATTTTGACAACAGGTTTTTAATGGTAAACATCAAGGGAATTATCAGGTGTACAGTTAAATGGCTGCGATTGTGCTTAAATTTGATTAGGATGATAATGACCATCTGTGAAAAAGGTCTTCAATAGCTTTCCAACTGTTTTTATCATTTTATATTGTAAATGTATTTGGTAAAATAAATGAAATTAAATTAAATGAAAAATGAAATGGATTGCTACAATACAGTCCTTAAAGCCAAAGTTCAGTGACAACTGGAAATCTGAGTTCATTGGTTGCGACTGAATTGTTTTTTGTGGTTCATCTTTAACCCTGAGAATTTTGGTTAAATGGTAACCAATGGGATAAAATCCATGGTTAAGACATCAAATTTGTTAAAGTTTGAAAAGTGCCTTTTTCATGCATCATACACATACTTAAGGCACCCCTTTTAGGAAAAAAATTATATAAAATATAATTTAAACAGACCCCAGATTTATTTATTTTTATAGACAATCATTATACATTATTACCTTTACAATCTTCTCCAGATTTCAAAGATGTATTTGGAATGTCTGTGAAGAGAGCTGAATATTACACATGTTAAAACAATTTGTGTTTATTGAAATGGTAGTATCAAATTATATAGTTACATAAAGCTTGAAAATTGACCTTACAACACCTCACAAGTATTTTGGACTTCTATTTAAGGGAGGGGGTGCAGAAAGAAGGGAGCTCCTGTATAAATAACATCAGTTGAAATGACTTGAGGGTGGGGGGGGGGCTTAAGTCTAACATTTGTAACATTGTTTTTTATGATATTTTAATAGCTATAAATAAGAACTCAAAATATGCCAATAATGGTTAGACATTTAAAAGAATGGTGCTACGATATGTTTCTTCCAGGGCTGTGCACCCATCTGGACGGTAAATCGGCACAAACATTATGTCCTTGTACTCAAATTAGTATATGATGCTTGAATACTACTGCTTAGTTGAATTTACATTACCAAAGTATACATTTACAAAACAATAGGCCTGTATTTAACAGTGGTGGCATATCTAGTGGGGTAAGGAGTACACATGGGGAGAGGGAAGTGCACGCCCCCCTAACAAGTTGGCCCCTCCATTGAAAACATTTGATCCCAAAAAACTGTGCTAAAATAGATAAAATCACTTCATATTGCCTTAGTTTGCCTCTAGCCACTTATTTAATTTAGGCATTTCAATGCATGTATTTGTTAAGCTAATAGTAATATACAGTATTTAATAAGATGGAACAATGGTTTTTTTTTAAAGAAAATTGTGTAGCAGTGTTCATGTTAAATTTGAAATAAAATATATATTCTGACAATATTTATCAACAACATTTATCTAAATAAATAATACCTTTTGTTAGAACTTTTACTGCATGATTAAGTTCAAATTTCTTCAAATTTTCAATGAATTTTCCCATATTTTCTTCACAAATTATGGTACGGTGTTCGAGATCCATAATCAAACTCCATGGGTCTGCATATTCTTTTATAGGGTCATTATATATTTTACTAATCTTGACTATATCTTGATCTGAAAGTGCCATTCCAAGCTTAATAACACCTTGCCTGTGAGTTGTGAAGTTTAAGATTATTACATCTCTAATGTTTGGGCATGATGGTATTAAATGTTTAATTTTCTTTTCTAAACCAAATGTTTTTGTTGCCTTTATGGTTTCACAAAGGATGGAGTATTCTTCTAAATCTAGAGCTCCAGTATCACTCAACAAATCTAGTAAGTCAGACGTTGTTGAAGCATGGTTTAATCGATGTGTATTCTCCACATGGCCTCTGTACAAAACTTTTAGCATACCGATGTAGCCAATCTTGTCATAATAGTTCGAAAAAATTGACAAGAGAACTTTGAAATCTTTATCAGTGATTCCTGAAAAAAAAAAACAGAAAAAAACATATGAAGTCTGAATACACAGTTAGTATGAGATAGTATAATACATACTCCAAGTATTGAAATGCACGCCATCGTGTAAGGATTCAATATTTCAACATTAATTATGTCATCATCATTCCTGATGATGACGTAATTAATGTTGAAATATTAAATCCCGACACGATGGCGTGCATTTCGATACTTGGAGTATGTATTATACTATCTTATCTGAGATTAATCAGTGGACCTTTTGGTTTCAGTTAGTATGAATTTATATAAAATACATAGAAAACTACAACTTATCCCGGGATATTGCTGTAGGCAGGCAGTGCTCATTATAGGCCAATACAAAGAGTGGCCCTAGGCCCGGAGTAGTGAAGGTGCTGGGGCCCCAGAAGCGAGGACCTGAAGTTTTATGTAATTGGATGCCAAATTTAAACAATAGACATAATAACAGAGAGTACATTATGTCACAATCTTGAGAAAGATACATTATGAATGTATTTGGTGCAAAGAAACATTATTTGAATCAATGATAAGATAAAATGCAAAAAAATCTTTCACAACTTAACAGACAAAAGTCTAAAATTTACAAAGAACAATGCACAGGCCAGTACAAGATATAATATATTTCTTGTTTTTTTAAGAACAGAAACTTGCAGTGTGGTTCACAGGTAACGAGGTACTGTCACTGTTCCACATGCCATATGATACGAGAAGCTTTATTGCAATTTTTAGTTGAACAATAGACCAAGTTGAACAATAGACCAAGAAAACACAGTACAATAACATCACAAAAAGGACACTAAACGCTAAATAAATTTAAAAAATTCATGAAATAAAACAAAGTAGAAAAATTACGAAAAGCTAAAAAATAAAGCAAAAAAGGGATTAAGCCTAAGAGAGAATAGAATTGGATATATTTACAATTTTATATACAATTTAGAAACATTGTAGTAAAATATTTAATATTTGCAAGTAATTGATAGTCGAGGCAGGATCTGCAAAAACTGGTACACTTAAAGCTTGTTTACACTAAGACGATAACAATCAACAATAAAAAGCTAAAAAGCAATTGCTCATATAGAAAATAAAAGAAATAAGAAAAGTTTTCACACTAGCACGATTCGATGAAAAAATAATTTCACAATTCAAATCAAATGACGTCATTATGATGGGAAAATGATAACATCGTAGTAGTAAAAACGATTACCGGTATATTGTTTGTCTATGATTATGACGTCATTTGATTTGATTTGTGAAAATATTTTTTATCGTATACATGATAAATGTTTATTGAACTTTGCTAATTCGATAAATTCTCCTAATTTTTTTTTTTATATGAACAATTGCTTTTTAGCTTTTTATCGTTGATCGTTATTGTCATAGTGTAAACAGGCTTTTAAGGGTTCAGTCTTCCAGTAGGGTTCTAGGAACCCCTAGTACATCTTCATTTAGGTAGCCATTTCAATGATTTTCAGATATTTTGAGAATCAATTCTATAAATACTTCATATTCAATTTAAATTGGGGATGAAGTGAGGGCCCCAATTTGGGTTGAGAAGCTGAAAGCCCTAAAAAATAGCTGAAAGCTATTAAATACTGTAATCTTCTATAATAATATATAATTTAAACTCACCATGACCTGATCCAATATCATGTTCTTCATGATGACCTTTTGACAATGTTTGAGATGTTCCTTCAACAGTTGCAGAGGATGACTCTGTTTCTAAGTCTATATTCTCTATTAAAATAAAATATGTAGTCATCACTTCATCTACATGTCACAACTGCCTTCTTATCATTTACTTTATTTCATTTTTTTACTTAAAAATGATATTGGTAATTCATACTAGGCAATATATTCCTTTTATTAGAAGGTAATTATTTCATTATTCAAATTTAAAATCAGGACAGGCATTTATTTATGCTTACTCCAAATTGCTAAAAAGTATTTTTCACTTCAAAGCTAATATACAATTAATTTCAGATTTTAATCTTTTGTCAATTTTTTAACATCTCAGCATTGGCAATATGGCCTCTTAAAGTGTAGTTTTGCCTAACAAAAACTGTGTGGCAACACTATAATAATCTGCAGGGGCGGATCCAGAGATGTTGAAAAGGGGGGGGGGGCAATTGGGGCCGATCGAGACAACACTGAAATAGGAGGTCCGGGGGCATGCCCCCATAAAAGTTCTGTGTTTTAGACACCCGAAAATAACATTCGAGGCTATCTGGGATATCATTTTTTCTTTTTCTTTCTTTTTTCTCTTTTTTACATCTCAAAAGTTGGGGGGGGGGGGGGGGGGGGGCCGGGGCCACCCCCCCCCCCAAATCCACCCCTGATCTGGGTAAAATATCCAGCATTTCTAACAAAATTGATGATAAATTAAATCTTTCCTTTGTTCACAATAATACAAATCAGAAATTTTTTACAATAAATCTTCAGTAATTAACATACAAAAATATGAATATATGTATAATTATAAAATACAAACTACAAAAGGTTACACATTATAGAGTATTTACAAATTAATCAAATATTAAAATTAAATTTAGGAGCATTTCTTCTGAAAAGATTGGACTGACTTTCTTGCAAACAAAAATGTGTGCAACCCTGTAGGAGAATATGGCATAATTCTGAGAGCATCCCGGATGCCTTGAGGATTAGAATATGGTTTATATAAATACTGCAGATATTCATAAAAATAACGATCACTCATGAAAGTGAATGTATAGTGTGTATTAGAGGCCTATAGGGTCTCTATATGTGGCAAAGACAAGCCAAACCAGTCACTTGTTAAAATCCTGTTTTTGGAGATAATGGTTCCTGCCTAAGTAATGCCAAAAATGCCAGAATAAATATATAATCACATGAAACTATGTAGTAATATAAAAGTTATTTTTAAAGGTTAAAAATATAATGCATTAAACAAATTTAAGGAAAGAAAAAATCTAGGAAATAAAATGAGCCACGTCATTTTAGTGCTAACACGGAAGCAATATTTTCATGTTTCTCCATATATGCGTTTTATTAAATGACCAACCAACATCTTTAAAATAAAAAAATAATGGATATGATATTATCGAAGAAGACATGCTAAGTATAACTGTGATGAATATAGATTTATATAGGAGGCCCTCTGTTGGTTCATACATACCTTGTAGTATAATGGTAGAGTCCCGAAAGTTTAGTGCTGTAAAGAACGAGTGTTGCACGTTGGAAACTAGGGACGCCATACTGTAAGAGTACACGTTGTTAATGGAGAGCGTCCATTTGAAGTTAGGAAGTCGAATACACCGTTTTACTATGCCTTAATTTAGCTGTTGTGGGACTGGTATGTACATGATTTGTTGTGGAATATATAGTTGTACTGTAGATATGAACAGTACAGTAATATTAGTGATTTGGAATGAGAAGCATTCCATCGTTGTTTTGTGGTGCTAGACCACAGGCTGCAACATGAGTAGGCAAGGAGTCAGTCTAACTAATGCATGTAGCGTTTACGTATTTTATCTTTATATTTGTTGTTCCTGTTTATAATATTATTGCGGCTGTGTACAGTCATAATTATAGAAGAACACCGTTTGATTATTGAGCTATAATCATAAGTCTAAGCAATTGTTAGATTTAGTAATGTAGTGACGGTTTGATAATAAGCAATAAGCCTATGTAATACATCGCATGTTAACATTTGATGATAGACGTTTGCCAGTGACTCGTCACGCTTGACTGCACAAATTAATATTTATGAAGTCATAGGATAGGCTGATACCATTGGTATTGTCGAGGTGCAGTGGGTTTCTTATTGCCTAATTTAATTGTTTAATCATTGTTTTTACTTATTTTACAATAATTTTAAGTCTTGATTATCTTGATGACAGTAAATAAATATATACCAAAAGGCAAAAGTGTTGTTGTCGAATATCATCGAGTCAGTAAAATACGCCCGACGTAACAATAACATAGTTACAATGTCATGGCTCCTGATTTTACATGTGAGTATTTGAATTTATTCCATGTTTTTTAACCTAAAACTGGCATGTAAAGTTTATATGGCTGTGAATTTTTTTTTGCAATTTTTTGAAACATTGCCACTTAATCCCTGTTATTACTATTTGACTTCTGCATGATCCTTCAAAAAATCTTTCTGACAACTGTTCCGGCCAAAATTTTATTTATGTTTAAATTTGACTGTGTCTGGCCTTTAAAAACATGTTTTTTCCCCCTACGTGCAATAGCAAATTTTACAAAAAAAATTGCTCAGGGTTAACATGATTGCATACCTTTAATTTGGATTCCTGATGATGACATAATTAATGTCGAAATATTAAATCCCTACATGATGGCGTGCATTTCGGTACTTGAAGTATGTGTTAAACCATCTTATCTGAGATTATTCAGTGGACCTTTCGGTTTCATTCGGATTCTTGTATTTTTTTTTTTTACGGTTTATTTTGTTCATTAAAAATATAACATGTAGAACATAATGTGTATCTATTTGTAATGTGTGTGTCTATTTGTAAACTGAAGTGAAAGAAGGATGATGATTGTACATGATATGGCTATTTTTGCAGATATTGGATCAATGTTTACATTTATTTATATTTTAAATTTTCTTTATTTTATAGCCATCTAATTATTGCCACAAAAATGTAAAATGTTATTCAATGCAAGCCTGTATTTATCATATATTAGGTGAATAAAAATAATATATGCATTATACAATTATAATTTTAACATTTAACAACATTAATGCAGTAAAGCCTATCCAATACCCCAATAAAATCTAGGCCTCACTCTAGGCCTAGCACATGCATATACATCGCGTAAAATTGCGCGTATGGGTCTGTGGAGTTGTCAAGAACGCCTAGTAAAGCAAAAACAGTTGCCCCTTTCAATCAAAAATTTTGAAAATCAGAATTTGTCAGGCCAATATTTAACAGAATACAAGAGCAGACACTTGTTCATAGACGAACAACAATACCTTCCAGAAAAATTGCACAATTTTTTAATTAGACAATAATTATGTCCAGGTTTAGCAATATTAACATTTACGGAGTGAGGGCGCTGTTTGTTTACAATTATACAATTGACCAGCCTTACTTATCTTGTTAGAATTCACGATTTTTATAAAAATTCATGCATTGCAAGTATATTGTTTAGTAGTGGACAAACAGAACATGAATGGGGGGATATTATTCTCGTATATATAATTTTTGGCACAATATACAAAAAAATGCAGTTTCGCTAGGCTCGCATGATTCCAATCGCAACCCGAGTGGCTTGTGGTGCGTAAATATATGAAAGCGCGTTGAAAACCCTTATTGTCCCAATACAGTGAGTATGAAACCGCCACGCATTAACCATACCAAAGTTTTTCGTCCTATATGCTTCTTGTGTCTTAGGAAAATCATTTGTGCAGTACATCAAAAACAATTTTTCTTCTGCAAACCTGACTTTAGGAAGAGTGATTATGATATATTTTCAAAGCAGCTGAGAAAGTAAATTGACTCAAAGCCAAGAGAGGACTCAATACAGTAGGAATAAATTCATCTTAAAATATTCTCACCTTTTTCCTCCTGCTTACTGAGACTGAGAGTAGCTTTGAATTTACTTTCATACCATTCTGAGAAAAATTTTTTAAGCACACCGAAATCTATATCCGACAATTCTACAAAATAATTAGACAAAGATGTCAATAATTATACAATTTTGAAAACTAGATTATGCAGATATATGTCAATATATTTCAACCATTGCTGGGAGTAAATTTTCTCAGTATGTCTTAACAAGTGATTCCGTTTAAACACAACTCAAACATACATTACACTGTTCTGGTTGACAATCTCTTCCAAATAGTGTATGAATTCTGTGTGTATGAGCAATACAGAATACTCAAATTTGTTTATTTGTGGCTTAATGTCCATCACAATCTATTTAGGGTATCTTCAGTATGGTAAAAAATAATATGGTATTTAGAAACACTTTTATTTCAGTATACTAAAATTGTAGTTCTCATTTATAATGCTGATATTCTGGTATATACAGTATATTCGTTGTTACGGAGGAAGAAATAATGTCTGAAAGCTTTGGTTATAGCTGTTTACTTTTACATTTTAGCAGTTGCTTATCAAACTGTTATCTCTTCAGAGAACCAGCCATTGTGTGGTCAGGGGCGGATTTAGGGGGGGCCGGCCCGGCCCCGGCCCCCCCCCCCCT